GATGTCTTACCTTAGTTCAGATGCAGGGCTCACCTGCCCTGGAGGCTGTCAGTGGCTTCTAAGGTGCTAGGAGGTGGTGGTGGCTGTAAGGAGGGAGACACTGGAGGGAGACACTCCAAGAGCTTCAAGAGATAGCAGTGACCCTTCCTCCTGTATCCCTGCTGCTGAGAGAGCCTCCAAGCGGGTCAAACTCCAAACTCCAGCTTAGTTCTGGTGGGGAATTAAAGGAAATGTGAATGATCTCCCCCGGGTCAGAAGAGAGGCTGGGGCCCAGCCCAGGACCCTTGAACTCTGACCAGGTGGGGAAGGTGACATGCCCCACACTCTGCCCACACCATCCTCCACCAGGCCCCTCACCTGGGGAGTGGGGACCCACAGCGTGGAGAGGTTGGGGGATGATGGAGCCCAGGCACCATCCTGCTTCACTCACCAGCTCTTCCACTGTCCCGCCTCCTCTCTGGGGACAGGCAGGCTTGGGACGAGCTCGGGGAACGGGGGGAGGAAAAATGCTGGCGGGGGATGCAGGGGACAGAGGCAAAGTGCCAGGAGGGACGTCCAGCCACAGCCCTCACCGCAGCGGCAGCAACAGGAACAGCAAGCACTGCTTGAGCCACCCCTTTCCATGCGCTCCTCCAGACAGAGGCACGGCAAAGAAGAGGTGTCTGAGGCCCTGAAAAACTGTCAGGAGTGACTGAGCCATGGTCAGGAGCCACATCGGCCTCAGGACATCAGGAAAGCAGCGGAGCACAGCGAAGGATTCTGCTGGAGGCTCAAAGCATCCAAAACTCATTTTTTTTTTTTCTTTTGAGACAGGATCTCACTCTGTCACCCAGGCTGGAGTGCAGTGGTGTGATCACAGCTTCCTGCACTTTTCCTGTTGCTGCCACTGTGGTGAGGGCTGTGGCTGGATGTCCCTCCTGGCACGTTACCTATGGCTGTCATGATCACAGCTTACTGCAGGCTCAACCTCCTGGGCTCAAATGATCCTCCCACCTCAGCCTCCCGAGTAACCGGGACTACAGGCATGCACCACCACACCCAGCTAATCTTTTCATTTTTTTGGTAGAGACAGACTTGCTATATTGCCGAGGCTGGCTGAGAACTCCTGGGTTTAAGTGATTCTCCCACCTTGGCCTCCCCCTCTCACTCCTTCACTGCACCTGCCAGATTCTGGGGGCCCTCAGCTGAGGTCCCTGTCCCGGCATCAAGTAGCCAGAAATAAAAGCAGTGATGCACACGTGCCAGGCTCTGTTCTAAGTGCACGACGTGACTTTACTCACTTGATCTTTCCAACAACCCTCAAAGATGGGTCCTGTTTCCTCTACTGCACTGCCTCTCCTTCTTTCCTTCCACTGACCAGTTTCTGACAGTCTACACTTGTGGCTCCCTGTGGGATGCACCCAACCTCCCTGCAGGGTAGGCATTCACCGCACAGCTGCTGGGAGAGTGTGGCAGATAGGAGAATTGCTTAAACCCAGAAGGTGGAAGCCAGGATTGTGACACTGCTCCAGCCTGGGTGAGACAGAGTGAGACTATCTAAAAAAAAAAAAAAAAAAAAAAAAAGGTAGCTGACAAAGAGTTCTTATAATTTCATTTACATGAGGTTCAAGAATAGGAAAAATGGATTTGTGGTGACAGAAGTCAGAGAGCAGGGCCCAGTGATCAACTGGAAGAGGGTGGGAATGTGCTCTCAGAGGTGATGGAAATTTCTATTATCTTGAATTGGGTAGTAATTATGTGGTATATACAATTGGCGAAACCCATTGAATTAAATGATTAAGATTTATGCTTTTTTTTTTTAGATGAAGTGTCACTCTGTCACCCAGGCTGGAGTGCAATGGTGCCATCTCAGCTCACTGCAACCTCTGTCTCCTGGGTTCAAGTGATTCTCACCCTCCCAAAGTGCTGAGGTTACAGTCGTGAGCCACCCCCCCTCCCCCCACCCGCCTCCGCTGACTCAAGCATTTTATTGTATGTAAATTATACCTTTAAAAGTGAGAGCAAATGGCTGGGTGGGGTGGCTAATGCCTATAATCCCAGCACTTTGGGAGGCTGAGGTGGATGAATCCCGAGGTCAAGAGATCGAGACCATCCTTGGCAAACATGGCGAAACCCCGACTCTACTAAAAATACAAAAATTAGCTGGGCATGGTGGTGCACACCTGTAGTCCCAGCTACTAGGGAGCCTGAGGCAGGCGAATCGCTTGAATCCTGGAGGCGGAGGTTGCAGTGAGCCGAGATCATCAACATTCCAGCCTGGAGACAGAGCAAGACTCCGTCTCAAAAAAAAAAAAAAAAAAAAAAAAAGAGAGAGAGAGAGAGAGAGACAGCAAGCAAATATACAAGCAGTGAGTTTATACAGAGCAAATAGTTATTGCAAGTCTGTCTCCCAGATTTTAGTTCCAGCCCTTTGTTACCACATAAGAAAGTAGGTCTTATGTTGCCAGCCTTCCTTTTTCAAGAGAAATCTCAAAGTCTGGGTTTTCTTTTCCTTTCTTTCTTCCTTTTCTTTTCTTTCTTCTTCTTTTTTTTTTAAAATAGGAACTCTGATGACTTATAAGGTTTGACAAATTCAAAAACAACAAAATTAGTTAAAATGCTGGGTGAGTCAAAGGATGTACAGGGCTCTGTTTGGAACCGACATCCCGAAGTCACCTGTTCTCCTAGTCAGTTGAAGATGTGATTTCCTCCTGGATTTTCTACAGCCTTTTAAAAGCAGGCCTTCACCCACCCACATCCCTAACAACCCAAATGTTGCTATTTGTTGCAAGAATTGAAAAGAGTAAACCCTCAAAGCTGAAATAGATAAACTTTCCTAGGCAACATGCACGCCTGAGAGTCCCTGTTAAGACAAGATACATTTTTTGACTTAGTAACAATGGGACCTTGGGAAAGTCACTCAGCCTCTTTGAGCAATCAATTTCCTCCCTCCCTCTCCCAAAAGGATACAATCCCCCAAGTTAATCATAAGCTGCCTACCTAGCATTTAGTTGACACTGAGAATTTCAAGGTTTATTCTTTGTCTTTAGGGTGGCTTCAAAGAGGGAAAACTGTACTTTCTTTTGTTTTTTTTTTTTGGTTTTGTTCGTTTCTGTATCTCTGTAGTGTCACAGTTCTCACAAATCTGGGTTGCTTTCATCCACAGTAGTGCAGGAGCATGTGTGGGTTAAGAACTCAGAGATGGGGCTGGGTGTGGTGGCTGACACCTGTAATCCCAGCATCTTGGGAGGCCGAGGCGGGCAGATCACTTGAGCTCAGGACTTCGAAACCGGCCTGGGCATCATGATGAAACACTGTTTCTACAAAAATTAGAAAAAATATAACTGGGTGTGGTGGTATACACTTATAGTCCCAGCTACTTGGGAGGCTGAGTGTAAGGATCACTTGAACCCAGGAGGTCGAGGCTGCAGTGAGCTGTGATCACGCCACCGCACTACTCCAGCCTGAGTGACAGAGTAAGACTGTCAAAAAAAAAAACAAAAAAAATTCAAATTCAGAGGGGAGTCAGGTAGACCCAGGTCCTTATTCCAGTTCCCCGCCTCCTAAATGTGTATTCTCAGGCAAATGATTTTTCTCATCTGAAAAAAAAGATGTCGTAATAGTAGTACTTAGCTATTTTATTGGGAGGATTCAATGTGATAACACATATAATGTTCTTCTTCTCCCCCTTCCGTTCTCCTCCTCCTTCTGTTTTTCCTCCTTCTCCTCTTCCTTCTTCTTCTTCTTTCTTCTTCTTCTTCTTCTTCTTCTTCTTCTTTTTTTTTTTTTTTTGAAGTGAGTCTCACTCTGTCGCGCAGGCTGGAGTGCAGTGGTGCTATCTCAGCTCACTGCAACCTCGGCCTCCTGAGTTCAAGCAATTCTGCCTCAGCCTCCCAAGTAGCTTGGAGTATAGGCGCCCGTCACCATGCCTGGCTAATTCTTGTATTTTTAGTAGACACGGGGTTTCACCATGTTGGCCAGGCTTGTCTCAAACTTCTGACCTCAGGTGATCCACCCACCTCACCTCCTAAAGTGCTCACCGCCTAAAGGCGTGAGCCACTGTGCCTGGTCCTCTTCTTAATACTAAGTTTTTTTTTTTTCCTCTCTATTCATGAAAGTCTAGTGTAGTTTTCCAGGGACTAAGTGACATGAGCTGCAGTAACAGACTGAATACAGAAGCAAATGCAAGACTCCAGCTGTCTTAAACCAGGCATTAAAGAGATTTGCAGAAACAAAATGATGCCACTCTTTCCACTAAATCTTTTGGAAAAATATGAGATTTTTTAAAAATAAAAAATTATTTAACATGCAGTGGGTTGATTATTCTTTAAAAAATCAGGACATGGGCCAGGCATGGTGGCTCATGCCTGTATCCCAGGACTTTGGGAGGCCAAGGGGGGGGTAGATCACCTAAGGTCAGGAGTTCAAGACCAGCCTGGCCAACATGGTGAAACTCCGTCTCTACTAAAAATACAAAAATTAGCCTGGCATGGTGGTGGGTGTCTGTAATCCTAGCTACTCAGGAGGCTGAGGTAGGGGAATCACTTGAACCCAGGAGGCAGAGGTTGCAGTGAGTTGAGGTCATGCCACCGCACTCCAGCCTGGGTGACAGAAGGAGACTCACCTCAAAAACTAAAAATAAAAAAATAAAGCAGTACATATTTAAAATTGTTTCTTAATTTAAATGTCTAATCTGGTAAATATCTATAGCTATAGTCCAAGCTCCTTGAGTCCCTCGGTGTTAGGGGGCCTTGAGACCAGTTTTAGAACTTCTGTTCTATGGCCAACTTGTATGAGCCTGCGCATCTAGGAGAACTCTTGTAAATGTTATGTCTAAACCCAAAGCCACATAATCTGTTAAAAGGTGTCTTCTGATGAAAATAGACCCTTACTGGAAAACCTATTTATGGCAGTAGATTCTGTTGGGGTACAAGCTGTTTATATCTCAATAGAGCTTGCTGGTTAGTAGATTGTTAATTAATCAACAAGCTCTTTTAAAATTAATCACTAAACACTTTAACAGTAGGTCAACCACGGCAGAGAGGTTAAAATTTGGAGTGTGACTTGAAGACACGGGAGATTGCTGGAGTGGAACAAGATCCTACAGAAGACAGTTGACCAAAACTTCCACCAGCACAAAGCTGGGTTACAGCAGGTGGTTTTACTGATGACCTACTGCCACGGGCATTGGTGGCGAGTTCCAGCATGGGGACAGTTGTGTGGCATGTAGGTAGGTACCTGGGCTCTGCCTCCAGTTTTTAGCTAAATCCTGGCTCTACTGACTTTGTGACTTATGGTAAGTGTCCCCATTCACTGCTCTGTGCCTCAGTCTACCCATTTGTCAAATAATTAGGGCTGCTGTAAGGATAAAATAAAATAATGATCTGGGGTGGGAAATGGCCAGCCAAACCTGCCCTTCTCCCTTACTGGGCACAAGGCTGACTATACTGGGCAGCCCTGAATTCTGTCTAGCTGTGGCTAGCTCTTGCCAATGGAACTAATGGGAATGTGATCCATGCAATTTCTGCCTCCTGTGATTAAGAGGGAGCTCCCTGCCCTTGTCTGCACCCCCACCCCCTTTCCGCCTTCTTGCTGGCCAGGATGGTGACTGCCAGAGTGCCCTTGCAGGCTGTGTGTATGGAACACAGTAGAGCTGCTAGCAGCCTGGGTTCCTGTTGGAACAGAGAAGCCACTGACTTGGAGCCTCCCATGGACCGAGACATGGGACGGAATGAATTTCCTTATTTTAGCCATGTTATTGCTGAGTCACTTGTTACAACAGTGCAGGCTTTCACCCTAAAACATTCACATACATTGTTTGCAAGTGTGGCTGCTCATGATAAACACTGCGTGAACTTTGCAATCAGGACCCCGCTGTCTTGCTCTGGCAGGATACAGCTACTCCAGCCTCAGCACAGGAAAGACACACAGAACATATATATGTGTGTGTGTGTTTATTTATGTGTGTGCATGTGTGTGTGTGTGTGTATATATATATATTTTAAGACAGGATCTCACTGTGTGGCCCAGTCTGGACTACAGTGGCACAATCTTGGCTCACTGCAACCTCTGCCTCCTGGATTCAAGCAATTCTCCTACCTCAGTCTCCTCAGTCTCCTGAGCAGCTGGGATTACAGGTGTACACCACCACACTGGCTGATTTTTGTATTTTTAATAGAGACAGGGTTTCACCATGTTGGTCAAGCTGGTCTCAAACTCCCAACCTCAACTGATCTGCCCATCTCAGCCACCCAAAGTGCTGGATTACAGGTGTGAGCCACTGCACCCGAACACAGAGAACACATTCTGAATCTTTTGCAGTGTCGCAGAGACACATACTTTGCCTTTAGACTCCACGACTCACTAGGTATGTGGCACAGGCAAGTTACTTCACTTTTGCGAATCTGCTTCATTATCCATTAAATGAGGGAGAAATAACACCACCTCCCTCCCAGGGTGGTGGTGAGCCTTCAACAAGGTAACACTTGTAAACTGTTGAGCTTTCTTCTGTAAGTGCTAAATAACTATGTGCCACTATTTTAATGACCATCTTCTGTATTCCTAGTAGGGACTAGCTTATGAATTGCCACCTGTTGAAGCTGTGCTGAATTCAGGGTTGGTTGCTGCATCTTGCAGCTGCTTTGCTCAGTGGGATGATCGCCTGATAGTGAAAAACATCTGGTTTCCAGTCCCAGGGCCTTCCCTGTCCCCACGCAGCCAAAGCCCACTAGGAGCTGGAATAAAACAGAGAAGGCCGATATGGAAGGCAGATATGGGACATGCTGGCCACACCTTAGGAAATGTCTCTGATCTCATGGTGCCTGTTGATGTGGCTACAGTCTAGGCCTTAATGCAAGCCTGGCTCTAAGAAGCAAATTATCCCAATTGTGTGGGGTTTTTGTTTTTGTTGTTGTTGTTTTCTGAGATGGAGTCTTGCTCTATCACCCAGAATGTAGTGCAGTGGCGAGATCTTGGCTCACTGCAACCTCCACCTCCCGGATTCAAGCGATTCTCCTGCCTTGGCCTGCCGAGTAGTTGGGATTATAGGTGCCCACCACCATGCCCGGCTAATTTTTGTATTTTTAGTAGAGAAAGGGTTTCCCCATGTTGGCCGGGTTGGTCAGAAACTTCTGGCCTCAGGTAATCCAGCCACCTCGGTCTCTCAAAGTGCTGGGATTATAGGCATGAGCCACCTTGCCCAGCCCTGATTGTTTTTGTTTATTTTGACAGGACCTTGCGCTGTCACCCAGGCTGGAGTACAGTGGCATGGTCACAGCTCACTGCAGTCTCAATCTCCTGGACTCAAGTGATCCTCCTGCTTCAGCTTCCTGAGTAGCTGAGACTATAGGCACACGCCACCGCACCTGGCTAATTATTTTATTTTTTGTAGAGACGGGTTCTCACTATGTTGCCCAGGCTGGTCTCAAACTCCTGTGCTCAAATGATCTGCCTGCCTGGGCCTCCCAAAATGCTGGGATTACAGGCCTAAGCCACCATGCCCAGCCTCAACTATTTCACAGGTTACATATTATATCATTGTCTCTAATGTCCTCTAAATTCTACAACTTTCATTATCATAATCACCCACATTTCATAATAAATAGTAGAGGAGAGGCTCGAATGACATTCTATTCACTAAAGCAAAGGCGGGCAAACCATGCTCTCCACCTGCCAGGCCACATCTGGCCCACTGCTTGCTTTTATCAATAAAGTTTTATTGAAACACAGCCATGTTCATGTGTTTACCTATCATCTCTGGCTCTTTTTGGTAGAGTTGAATACTTGTGACAGAGACCACATGGTCTGCAAAGCCTAAAATATTTACTATCTGGCCCTTTACAGAAAATGCTGCCCTTTGACCCATAGCATCTCTCTGTGAGGTACCATCTCCAGAGTCCAGGGAACTGGAAGGAAAAACCTTCAAATTGTCCCATTCCCATTCCCTCTCAGAAGTTGTTAAAACCCTCCAGGAAGAAATGTGAGTTCAAAGCAACTGTCTGGTAACAAGGATAAACCCTTCTCTGAAGCCCTCCGGTATGACTAACAGCCCATTTGCCATCAACCTGGTTATTATGAGAATTTCAATTTAAATATAGTCCTTCTTCTCTCTCTCTCTCTTTTTTTTTATTTTTTATTTTTTTGAGGCGGAGTCTTACTCTATTGCTCAGGCTAGAGTGCAGTGGCACGATCTCAGCTCACTACAACCTCTGCCTCCCAAGTTCAAGTGACTCTCATGCCCCAGCCTCCAAGTAGCTGAGATTACAGGCTCATGCCACCACATCCTGATAATTTACATAATTCTTCTATGTGTGCATCTTAGTTACTGAGAAAACACAAACAGGTCAGAATTGTGAACAAAGCACTGTCTTGAGGCTTTTCTCTATTAGATACTTTCACACTTAAAAAACAGGCCAGGCACAGTGGCTCATGCTTGAATCCTTGCACTTTGGGAGATGGAGGTGGATGGATCACCTGAGGTTGGGAGTTCGAGGCCAACCTGACCAACATGGTGAAACCCCTTTTCTACTAAAAATACAAAATTAACCAAGTGTGGTGGCACATACCTGTAATCCCAGCTGCTCAGGAGGCTGAGGCAGGAGAACCACTTGAACCTCGGAGGTGGAGGTTGCAGTGAGCCAAGACTGTGCCGTTGCACTCCAGCCTGGGCAAGAAAAGCAAAACTCCATCTAAAAAAAAAAAAAAAAATCCGAAATAATTTTGCCAAGGGAAGAAGCTAGACAGAGGTCAGAAAAGCCTTTATGTGTAGCTCTAGTTCATAATTTGAGAAACACTGCAGTGTGATCTTCTAGGCTGGGAGAAGCCCTAGAGAGCGTGAGAATGAAGACCCAAGAGTGAGGACAGACCTGTATACAGAAAGTACATACTCTATGAGTCCATTTACATAGAAATCTAGAACCTGGGAACAAATCTCTGGTGATGGATAAATGTTTGCCTGGGGTTGGGAGAGTCAGGATGGAGGGATCACATAGGGGAAGAAGGAAATTTCTGGGGACAGGCTTGGCTGTGTCCCCACCAAAATCTTATCTTGAATTGTAGCTCCCATAATTTCCATGTGTTGTGGGAGGGACCCGGTGGGAGATAATGAATCATGAGGACCGTTTTTCCCATACTGTTCTTGAGGTAGTGAATAAGTCTCACGGGATCTGATGATTTGTTCCCCCTTTCACTTGGTTCTCATTGTCTCTTTGCCAGCCGCCATGTAAGACGTCCCTTTGCTCTTCAGCCACGATTGTGAGGCCTCCCCAGCCATGTGGAACTGTAAGTCCATTAAACCTGTTTCCTTTATAAATTACCCAGTCTCAGGTAGGTCTTTATCAGTAGTGTGCAAATGGACTGATGCAGATGGGTATGTTCATTCTCTTGTAATGGTTTCACCAGTCACGCCTGTGTCAAAACTCTTCAAATTGTACATGTATGTGTAGTTTATCATGTCATTTACACCTCAACAAAGTGGTTTTAAAGAAGCATAAAAGCCTTTATATAAATGGGTTCTTATGGAAAAACATGGACCAACTTTACATGAAAGAAGCCTTGGTTGACATTAAGATGGAGGATTAGAGGATGGAGGGAGATGCTTGGCTTCTGGGGGCTTCCATGAAATCGTGAGTGCACTACAAAGGTGTGGCAGTATTTGAATGTCTTGGTTCCCTTTTTAAGTGCTTTTTTGTTGTTGTTGTTGAGACAAGGTCTTGCCCTGTTGCCCAGGCTGGAGTACAGTGCCACAATCATAGCTCACTGCAGCCTTGACCTCCCAGGCTCAAGCCATCCTCCCTCCTCAGCCTCCAAAGTAGCTGGGACTATAGGTGTGCACCACCACACCTGGCTAATTTTTGTAACTTGTAGAGATGGGGGCCTCACTGTGCTGCCCAGGCTGATCTCTAACTCCTGGACTCAAGCAACCCTCCTGCCTTCGCCTCCCAACGTGCTGGAATTACAAGTGTAAGCCATTGTGCCTGGCCTCAACTACTTTCCTATATTTATATGGCTATGTATTTCTTCACAGAGCTAAATATCAGCACTCTTTCTGCTATTCAGTGTTAAAATGTCTGGAATGTATTCATTCATGGATTTGGCCATTCAGCAGATATTTCCTAAGTGGAAATGTGTGCCAGGCAGTGTTCTAAGCTCTGGGGATTAAACAGAAAGCGTGGCAGGTCTGTCCTCACTCTTGGGTCTTCATTCTCACGCTCTCTAGGGGCTTCTCCCAGC